ACCTGCCAGGCCTGGAGTGACGATCCTCCCAGGGCTGACGAGCAGGTTCGAGCCAACGCCTCTTAGAGGAACAATGCCACAGATCCTCCAAAGCCCCAGCAGTGCAAACACAGGTGGCCATGACATGCCTCCCCTCGCAGGGTTAGGGTACGGCCCTGCCCTGCCCCTCCGAGCAGGGACTCGTGGTGCCTTGACACAGGAATGCCTTCTTCTGACCCACAGTGAACCCAGGGTCCACAGGGCTGGGGGACACGTGCTGGGCCCCCCTAGAGGAAGCTGGGCGGAGACCTGAACTGGAGATGCAGTTTCCCCTGCCCCGGCCCTGTCCTAATGGAGACAGGACAGAGGACTGGGCCTGAGGCATTGCTTGCTTGTCTTGAGCTTCCTTCTTTGCTTTCTGGCAAAATCACATCAAATTCAGTCCCCTCCCCAATAACGTTTCCAGGGAAGGGATGGGAAAGCCGCATTCACGAGCACCCCCTGCAGAGGAGGCTGAGCTGTACACATTGTCATTGAGTCCGCACAGCAAGGGGAGAGGGCTTTTATTGGCCCCATTTTATAGACGAGGCAGCTGAGGTTCAGAGAGGCCAAGTCACTTGCCCAAGGTCACTATGAAGTCAGGATTTAGACCCGGCCTCTGGCTCTCTCTGTCCCACCTGAAGGCTTCTTGGAGCCTTGCTGTGAACTCAATGTATGATCTTTGAGTGCTACATTCTTTATGTGTTCAAAGATAATAAAATAACCCCAGCTAACATTTCTTGAACACTGTGCTAAACGCTCTACATGTATGACTTCATTTGGTCCTCAAGACAACTCTACTATTTTTATCATACCCTTTTTTCAGCTGAGGAAACTGAGGCCCAGAGAAGTTAAATACATCACCCAAACTCCATTATGTCAGAGCCAAGATTTGAAACTCTGCCTCCAGGGTCCGTGCCCTTACCTACTGCCTGGTAAATCTCTTTAAGGCCATCCCCATCCAAGCAAGGGCATCCTCTGTTGCCCTCTCCTTCTCAGGCCTCCTGTCACCCCAGGCCTGGCTGATGGATGATCCTGCTTCTCACAGTGGCCAGGCCTGTGCAGCTGATGGCCTGACGGGTCAGCCTGTCTGTTGTCTGTCCTGGTGTGAGCTCCAAAGCTCAGGGCTTGCTAGGTACTCACTCAACGCGGGATGTCAGAGCCGGAATTGTCACAGAAACTTTCCCATCCAACCCCTTCATTTCCCATGTGGGGAAACTGAGCCCAGAATGCCAAGGGCCCGAGCAATGGTAAGCAAGGAGAAATGCATGCATTTCTAGCTCTACCACCAACTCATCATGGGCCTTATGTTGAAATGACTTGTAAGTGTCCTTCAGCAATGCCTGTCTGAGTCTCTGGTCCTCAAAGATCTGTCCAGAGTCACCAGACTGTTCTGCAGAGCTGGGATTCAGATCTGTCCCCCACCTGCTAATCCAGGGTTCCTTGCTTGGAGCATGAATGAGACTCCTCCCTCCTCTCTCTCTCCCTGGACCACAAGGGGCCTGGAGCCCACAATGGCTGACCCACCTCCCAAAGAGTCTTGAGGCTCCCTCACAGGCGACGGGCCTCCCATGAAAGGCAGAGCTCCCCAGACAGCAGACCCAGGCCCTCTGGGCAGCCCCTCATCCTCAGAGACACGTGCTTGACACAGCAGTACCCAGGAGCCTTCTCCAGACCAGCCTCAATGCCCCAGGCCCTTACATATGCACAGTACTCAGCTTTCTAAAATCTCTTTCGTACAAGCTGGGCTTCCGAGAAACCCAGCAAGGTCAGCAAAGCCTTTGAATTAGGTGGACCTGAGTTTCAACCCTACATCTGCCATCAACTGGCTGTATGACCTTGGGAAAATTACTCAACCTTTCAGTGTCCTGGTGGCCGCAACTGGAAAACAGGCATTTGATGAGTTGCTATTTGAGAAGCACCTGACACAGGGGAGCGCTCGGCAGGCGGAAGGTTGCTACTCTCTTCCTTTTACGAATGAGGAAATGCGAGCTCATCCTTCTTAGGTGACCTGTTCGAGAATTCTTCTGGGCCTGCATCCTGTGCCAACTTGCCTTGCCTCCCTCTCTGGTCCCTGCAGCTGGCATGCTGCCCACAGCAAACAGATGAGTGACAGTGGTGGCATTACTATCTTATTTCGCCCACTCAGTCTTATGCCCCCTGAAGAAAGGGTCTTTATATACCTCCGAATACTGCCCCTGGCAGACAGAAGCTCTCAATAAATGCTGAGAAGCTGTTTCAGGGGTACTTTGTCTTCTGGTTCTGAGTGAGAAAGAATGGCAAACAGGAGTGGTATCCAATGGGGTCACCCCAGCTGCAAGTCTCATGGGAAAAGCTGCCAGCTCCTTATTTCCCCCTGTGCTGCCAGATGCCCATGGAGGGACAGGTGACCACTAGGTGGGCACTTGCCCAGGATTCTAGTGAATATCCACAGCCGTGTCTAGGGCAGGAAAAAGCAAGGGAGAAGCAAGTTCATGCATTAGTTCAACAAATATTTACTTAGCTCCCACTCCAAGGACTCAGCAGTGCGTGGAGTGACACAGCCTCTGCTGTCACAGATCTCACAGCACAGGTACCCCGCTGAGGTCCCGGGATACAGATCAACTCAGAGAGAACCTCAAGATCATCTCGTCCAGCCAGACTCCTCAATTTAAAGATGGGGAAACTGAGACCCAGTGAGGGACAGGGACCAGCCAATGTGCTCAGGGAGATGGTGGCAGGCATGCCCCATGCCTGCTCTGGGGAGCCCAGCCTGAGCAGAGGACAGGCCCAAGGCCCTAATCCCTAGGCCCAAAGCCACCCTGTCTCTAGGGGGAGAAGGGAGGCCTGCTGCCTGTATCCCAGACTGGCTGGAAACCAAGCCCAGCCTCAGCCCGGGGGCTGGCAGGAGGCGGGCCATCTCAGCCCAGACTATTTAAGGGCTCCACCAGGCATGAGCCATTCCTGGGCATTTGGGGGCAGGAGGGAACAGGACTTGGCAAGTTCTGAGGACGTCTCTGACAGCCCTCCCGGAATCCCAGGAGAGCAGGAACGGGCGCTTCCCCTCTCCCGCAGCTAAGGGTCTGGCCCGAGGGAAGGCCGGCTGGATGACGCCCAGCCCTGCCTCCAGCCTTGCCTCACTGCACCTTTGCAGAGGTGGTTATTTTTGCAAAATGAAGCCTGAGAAAACCCTTTGCCTGCTGCTCAGAGGGCCTGAGATTCCTCGACAGAGGCTCAGACGTCAGCGAGGCGGGAGAAGCAGCCAGGCCATTGGGCCCCAGAGTCTCAGGAAGGGGCCTGGCTGTTCCCAGGATTCGGGGACATGGCACCTGGTGCTTTGGGCCTCAGCATGAACTTAAACCATAGCACAAGAGACCAAGGTTAGATGTGGGACAATCTTTCTGACTGTAATGGCTCTATGACATTTGAACAGGCTGCCCACAAGGTTAAGAAAAGGGTTTCAGGTTAGCACACCCCCGAAAGAAAGGTGTTGCCAGCTTCCGTCACCTCGTGATGTCAAGGGGAAAGCACGGGTCTGGAATCAGGCACCGGTCCCAGACCCAGTCTCACTATTTCCTGGCTTGTGACTTCATTCAAGTTACTTAACTTCCCTGGGCCTCCGTCTCCTCTTCTGAAAACTGACGCTGAAGTCTGACCCTGCCTTCACAAAGCTGTTGGGAGAGTAAATGAGATGCCATCCAACGAATGCCCTGCCCAGAGATTGGCGTATTGTAAATTCCGGTTCCTTCCTCCAGCCCCAGGGAAGTCCGGCCTCTAAGTGTGTACTCAGGAGACACATTGTAGGTTAAATCTCCCTCAGAAAGAACAGACGCCACCTTCTCTCCAGCCAGGGCTGCTGGCAAGGAGTTTCACCCAGTGAGACCCGTGGGGGCCCTCTCAGAGGGCTTGGCTCTCCCCGCAAATGATCTCCTCCAGCCTGCTCTTCCCAGCAGGACTAAGAAACCGGTTCTCCCTCTCCCCACAATCCTCACCTGAGCCCAGCCCAGCCACGGCACCCAAACTTCTCCACTTCCTCATTCTCTGCCCTCTGTCTGGGGCTGTGAACCCCAGAGGAACCAGCCACAAACCAGGGGCAAGCAATCAAGTGTGCATGGATGTGGCTGCTCCAGTGAGCCCAAGGGTGGTGACGCTGGCGATGGGGAGCAGGAGCAGAGTTTGGACTGAGGAGGGAGATAGGGGTTGGTGTTGCTTTGGACTTAAGCTTGGAGAAATCAGACAGGGCTTCCTGGAGTTGCTGTCTTTCCCTCTGGGCACTTTAAGCAGAGGAGATGGCAGCCTCGGCGGGGGCGGGGGCCAGCTTTGCAGGAGGGCAGAGATGGGAACTGGCTCAGCAGCCCTGGAGGTCAGGTGTGCCTGGCTGGGAAGAAGGGGAGGTTCGAGGGGCACACGCGGTGAGGGCCAGAAGCAAAGAAAAGGGTCCTGGCAATGAGCTATGAAGGGCCAGGGCCAGGGGTCCTGGAACAAGCCCTGGTCTTGGAGTCATACAGCTGTGGGGCCCAGTTCCAACCCTGCTGCTTACTATCCATCCATGAGGCCACAGGGCAAGTCCCTCACCTCCCTGACTTCCTCATCTCTACGTTTCCTAAGATGAGCATAATAAGTCCTGATTGCCCCCAGTCGTGAGTATTAAATGAGACCCACGGGTGGGGGTGCTGAGCACAGTGCCAACCATACAGTGGCGACCCAACACAATCCACGTGGTCAGTCATTCGGTAAATAATTAGACCACGTTTCAAGTTCTGTGCCAGGTGCACCAAACTGCTCCGAGGAAACCCCTGTCTGCTGCTTCCACAGTCACTGAACAGGGTTAGCCAGAGAGCAAGTCACCTGCGCAGCCTGGGTCCTCCCCAGGTGCCCTGGGCACCCCAAAGAATGAATTATGACCACGCAGGGAAGAGGCCAAAGTGGGGAAGATGTCACATGTGGGTTCTGGGCCTCCTCAGAGGCTCCCAACAAGAAAAACTGGACCTTCCACCAAGAGATATTTGCAAAAGGAAAAGCAATTCTTTATTGCATGGACAGACACGGTGCAAACAAGCTTGTTACACGACACAGCTGCTTCTGGCACCTCCCTGCTCTAAAGGAGGCAGAGAGAGCTGCAGAGGAGAGGGAGGAAGGGCATGCAGAGGCGGGACCCTCTCAAGCCGAGCTGGACGCCCTCTGAAGGCAGGGACTGGAGCTTGCTCTTGCGGCCCCTCTGGCCGGTTGTCCGCTCAGCCAGGGGAGGCTGGGGGTGGTAAGGGTCGGCTCTCTTGCCCTGGGCATTTAGATTTCCCTCTTGTGGGAAGAAACCACCTTCCCATCCACTGACTCCTTGACATTGATGCGGACTTTGCCTCCGCCGCCGCCTCCCAGGGAGGCTGTAGAGAGAAGGAGCAAGCTTTAGAGTGGGAGACCCTCCCCATGCTCCCTTCCTCCCAAGGGGGCCCGGACCCTGGCTGAGCTCCAGGAGGACTGGTGTTGAATTCCTCATCGTAGAGGTGGGCAGTGGCAGCGCAGGTACGCCCCACAGTGAGCAAGAACGTCAGGGTTTTTTTTGTTTTGTTTTGTTTTTTTGCTGAGGAAGATTTGCCCTGAGCTAACATCTGTTGCCAATCTTCCTCTTTTTGCTTGAGGAAGATTGTCTCTGAGCTAACATCTGTGCCCATCTTCCTCTATTATGTATGTGGGTCACCACCACAGCATGGCCACTGACAAGTAGTGTAGGTCTGTGCCCAGGAACTGAACCCCGGCCGCTGAAGTGGAGCATGCTGAACCTAACCACTAGGCCACAGGGTTGGCCCCGTGAGAACATCAGGGTTTTTAACTGCACGTGAACAGGGAGTAATAGGGGGCATCTGAGCATAAGCACATGAAGGCGGGGCCTGGGAGGAGCTATGTCCTGGACAAAGCCTGCCCAGCCCAGAAGATTCTCAATAAATATTCAACCCCAGCTCTACTGGAGCTGATAGAGGATCCGGAAGAGGCATAGGCTAGAATGGGCAAGTCCCTGCCCTACTTGGGATGTTGGGCCTTTTTCTCTTTCCTCCTCATTCCAAGGGGCGTGGTGGCTTCACCACCTCCCTCCCCACCCCACCCCCCACTTCTCCCCACCCAAGGAAGAGTTAAGCCTTCCTACCTTCTCCGGTGCCAATGCCAGCCATCCTGAAAGAGAGGGGGAAGCAGAAGTAAGCAAAGGGCAGAAGCTCAGGTCTCCCAAGTGTTGGCCCCAATGCCAGTTAAGCGGTCCTCCCCAGCCCCCTCACCACCACCACCCCCACATCTGACTTCTCTAGAGGCTGGGACATCTTGAGAGCCTGTCCAGACCAGCCACCCCCAGTAGATAGGTTCTGATCTACAGTAACACCCCATCTGTTTCATGCAGGGAATGGAACCAGCATTAGCCCAACCTCTGTCATTGTCATCACAGGGCTCTGTCATCACAGGTCCAGAGAGGTGACATGACCTGCCCAAGGTAACCAGAGTGCAGAGACCAAAGACCAGAGTGCAGAGTCCAGAGTCTCTTCCTCCTTGCTCAGTTCTCTTTTCACTGTACCACACCGCCGTCCCCCCTAAGATGACTCTCCATCCTGCCCACAACCGGCACCTCCCTGCTTCCTCCCTCTGCACCCTGCCCCCACCTGGCGTCCTGGCCCTCCAGCAGGCTGCGGTAGGTGGCGATCTCCTGCTCCAGCCGTGTCTTGATGTCCAGCAGCATCTTGTACTCCTGGTTCTGAGCCTCCATCTCACTGCGGACCTCACTCAGCTGGGTCTCCAGGCCACTGATGAGCCCCTGGATCTGCTGCAGCTGCGTGGCGTAGCAGCATTCAATCTCTGCCAGTGAGTTCTCCAGGCCGGCTTTCTGGGGTGCAACAGATCAATAGACACCACATCAGGCTAGAAAGGAAGCCGCTGAGAGTATGAGGAGAGGCATTGAATGGACACAGGGAACCACCTCTGCGGGGGCTTGGAAACTCCAAGGCTTAACCAGCCACAGAGGATGGGAGAGGCTGGGGTGGGGGATAGTGTAGGTGGCCATACCGTGCTGAGCTGGGACTGCAGCTCGATCTCCAGCCCTTGCATCGTGCGTCTTAGGTCTGTGATCTCCGTCTTGCTGGTCTGGATCATCTCTGTGTTGGAGGCCACCTCCTTCTTTAGCTCCTCGGTCTAGAGGTCACACACAAGAGAATTGAGCCCCATGGGTCTCCTTGGAGACCTGGGAAGCTGGGGCGGGGCTGGGAGGTCAGGCCCACCTTGCTGAAGAACCAGGACTCAGCATCTCGGCGGTTCTTGTCCGCCATGGCCTCGTACTGCTCCCTCATCTCCGACAGCACGCGGGTCAGATCCATGCCCGGGGCTGCGTCCATCTCCACGTTGACCTCGCCGGCCAGCTGGCTGCTGTACTCCTTCATCTCCTGCAGGGTGGACAGGCCCAGATGAGACAGAGGGCAGAAGAGAGAGCTGAGAGTCTGGGGCCCCACATGCCAATCCTGGCTCCACCCCTAACTCACTACATGACCTTGGCTCTCCCCCTACCTCACCCCAGCCTCTGTTTCCCATTGCACATGAAGGGGTTTGATCGCATGGGCCCCTCAGCTCTGAGGGTCTCTCTTCCTCTCTACGTCTTACCGAGGGAGGACCTCAGACAGCAGCACCCTTGTGTGAGCTCATGAAGCAAATCAGGACAGCAGTTCACACTGGCTGCCTGGCCTGGCTATGGATGAGAGGACAGTACCCCTTCCTCTCCTGTTTTTGTGTGTGGGGGGCTGCGTTCTGAACCACTATGCCCTTCAGCCAAATATGAGGAGGCACCAGCAGCCCCACTCTGCCTCCCACCACCCCCAGGCCCTGCCCCCATCTCACCTCCTCATGGTTCTTCTTCATGTAGGCCAGCTCCTCGTTCAGGCTCTCAATCTGCATCTCCAGGTCGGTCTTGGCCAGGGTCAGCTCATCCAGCACCCTGCGCAGGCCGTTGATGTCGGCCTCCACACTCTGGTGCAGGGCCAGCTCATTCTCATACCTGGGATGAAAGGAGGAACCTGAGGTGAGAAAGGGTGAGGGGCCTGGGCGGCTCGAGTTGGGGGAGGGAGAGAAGGCCAAGAAAGGGGGGAAATGCAGAAGGGGAGAGGGAGACCAGAGCGCACTTGAGCCTGAAGTCGTCCGCAGCCAGCCTGGTGTTGTCGATCTCCAGGATGACCCGGGAGTTGTCGATGGTGGCTGCCAGGATCTGCAGGAGACAGGGAGTTGGTGTCTAGAGGACCCCTCCCTCTTCCCTGCTGCTCTCCCCGCCTGCACCCCATCAGACCCCTCACTGACAATCTCCCTGTTGACACCACCAACGAAATCCTGTCGGGTCCCCAGGGCAGAGTCCAGCCTCCCCTTGAGTGCCCACTCCTTGGTCTGCCCCCACACCACCCTCTCTGTCACTAGGGTGTGAAGGACTAAGGAGCCAGGATTGCCTGGACTCCCCTGTGGGAATTGCCTGGCCAGGAGTGGCATGGGTGGGTTGTGGTGGGCTCTTGTAACACGCCTCTGGGGGACACTCCACCAGCCTCCCCTGTGGACAGCTCGTGGTCGCTGCACACCTGGACACAGCCATGTATCTACAGAACATTCCAGCTAGTGGGAACCTGGAGGGCAGCTGAGGAAGGCATTTTACAGCTGAGACAACTGGTCCAGCTGAGTGAAAGGATGAATGAGCATGTGGCAGGGCCCAGTATGAGTTCCAGGCATCCTAAGTTCTGACAGTGCTTTTGGCATCAGACATCATCAAAGAGTGAAGCACGAGGTCCCAACATTCAGGGCTCCCGAGGCTACACTCACCATTCTTGCAAAAGAAGCAAAGGAACACTTTATGCAGAGCCCTACAGGGTGGGTGTAATTGTCCTGCCTCGGCCCCCACTGGTCCTGACCAGATTCCCAGGATACCCCCAGCACTGCCAAGTTGAGCAGACGTGTGCCGGCATCCGCACCCGGAAAGTATTCCTCACACTCCAAGTCTGCAGAGGTTACACACACAGTCATCGCCTGGGCAGGAAAGGATTTCCTCGAGGCGGCAGGAACACTGATGCTGGAGATGCGTGCAGGGTGCCAGCCACCTGCTCCCCTCTCTCTGACACCCTAGGACTCACCTTGTTCCGGATCTCTTCTATGGTCTTGAAGTAGGGGCTGTAGTCGCGCTCTGGGCTGGTCAGGCTCTGCCTCTGGTACCAGGCACGGATCTTCACCTCCAGGTCGGCGTTGGCCTCCTCCAGGGCGCGCACCTTCTCCAGGTAGGAGGCCAGGCGGTCGTTGAGGTTCTGCATGGTGATCTTTTCATTGCCGGTGAGGAGGCCACCATCACCACCACCAAAGTCACTGCCAAAACTCCCACCAAAGCCGCCACCAAAGCCACCTCCAAGGCTACCTCCAAAGCCTCCACCGAAACCACTACGAGCCCCTCCACCGAAGCCGCAGCTCATGCCGCCCCCATAGACCCCTCCTGACTCCGAGGAGAGAAACCTAGCAGAAGAAGCCGAGATACTGTGGCTTCCACCTCCCCCATAGAGACTCCCACCACCAAAGCTGCCTCCCCCAGCCCGGAGGGGACTCCCCCGGGTAGAGCCACCCCCAAAGGTGGAGGAGGAAGTCTGTAGAAACGGGGTGCTCATGGCCAGGCAGCAGCCGGCGAGTCCTCAGCAAGCACAAGAGGCGCTGGCGGGAGGTGTGGGCTGGACTGAAACCACAGTGCTGAGCCTGTCACCGCCAGCCTGGGGCTCTTTATATACCCCTCGGAGGGTGTCGTGGGACCGTGTCTCCTCCCCCAAAGGGAAGCCAACTCCTCTGCGTTCCTGACAGACACTGCTGCCTGCACACCTCAATGTGGCTAGTTTTTCTTTTCTTTCTGTTTTTTTTAATGCAACAAAAGAGATGATTCAGAATGAAGGGTTTTTTGCCCCGGGCCATGATTTTAACACCTGGATTACGGGTTCATCTCTACCGTACGGGAGAACGCAGAGAGCAGTGGGCAGCAACCTTGCATCACACCACGGCTCCCAGGCCTCCGCCTGCACTGGTAGAGCCGTGCAGGCCAACTCCACCCTTGGCTGGGCTTCTCCCCCAGCCTGGGACCCTCCACCAAGGTGGCCAGCTCCCTGCTTTCAGTTTGGGAGTCTACTTCCCATTGCTGCTCTGTGTTGTCCCATTCACAGACCCGCCGTGTGCGAGCCTGCAGGGCTTGGGGAGAGCGGTGGTCTCTGGGGACCAGTGGGCAGAGGCACATGGAGAAATGCAGGCCCCATGGGCACAGGCTGAGCACAGGAGAGGGATCTTGAATCAAGTTCCTGCTGAGGTGACCAGAGGTGCCAGCATCTGTCACGTCTCTGATGCTGCAAATGAACTCCTGTCCTCCACTCGTTCTCTCCCCTACCCCACCTGCAGCCCCTCACTGCTTCTCCAGCTTCTCCCAGCCCCAGCCCCACTGCACTGGCACTCTGACGAAAGCCAGCAGGCTCAGGGTTGACAAGGGGCTGATTGATCCTCCCGCCACCTGCTGACTGCACGTGTCCCTGAACCTTTGCTTGCTCCCGGAACACGTCGGGGCAAACCTCTGCAGATAAAACTGGAACACGTTCTGGGAAGCCCCTGCCTCCTCCGGGGAGAGGCATGTCGCTGCATAGCTGGGCCAGATTAACCCCATTTGTCCTGCAAAGTGATGTGACGCTGGAGCGGGACCTAGCCCAGAAGGCTCTACATGCCTGAGCGTTGTGAGAAGCGAGGAAATATGGAGGTCTGGTGGGCAGACTGGAAGACGCTTCGAAGATCTTGAAGGCCAAGGCACCACTTCACAGAGCAGGTTGCTGAGGCCAGAGAGGGGAGTCAAACACTCAGGAGAACCCTTTTCTCTGCCGCCAGCTCAGGGGCCAGCTTTCCAGGGGTAGCTGGTACCTGTGCGCAGTGCCACTTGGAGGCGTGAGGCTGGGGAGGAGAGCAAGACTAAGCTGGAGATGAAAGAGGACTCCTGGCCCAGGGCTGCAGCGCGGTGAAGTGGACAGCGCTCAGGTGTTCCTCGGGCCTGGGTTCAAATCCTGGCTCTATGGGTTACTGCTTGTGAAACCTTGGACGTGTTACCTGTAAGTCTGTTTCCTTGTGGCAAGGGGCACTCTCAGCTCTCACTTATGGGGAGGCCCTGAGGCCCAAGAGCCCCCATCCTGCCTCATCCTGGCTCCCCATCTTCTGGGGGTTGGATAGTAGGGTGCATGTCCAGTACCTGGGACTCCCGCGTACCCTCACCAGGAGGGACTTTCGTCCTGCAGCATTGCTCTTCCAGAGCCAGCCCCACTGGGCACCCAGTGCAGGTGGTTGCCATTATTGCTGTAACAACAGTAACCCCTTACCTTCAACCGCACACTTCACGGTTTAACAGAGCCCTTTTGCATCCATCGCCTCCTCGCATCCTCACGACACAGAAGACGATCCCTGCCCCTGTTTCAAAAGAAATGAAATTGGGGCTCAGAGAGGGGAAGCAGTTTGTGCAAGGTGGCACAGCTAGTAAGTCGCTAGGACTCCAGTGGGTCCTCTGACCCCACTTAAACAGAGGACAGGAAAAAAGGGTCCCTCCCACAGACCCCAGATTCATGCATCTGAGCTGGTAGCCAGGGGCGGGGCGGGGGGGTGGTGTTGGTTCTGCTGGCCTGGGGAGTGGGGACGGGCTGTCCCTCAGTGAGCCAGGCCTCTGTTCGAGCATCCCAGTGCTGAGCCCTGACAGTGCTGTATTGTCTCATGGGTGGGCGGATATTGTCTTTTCCTCTGAAAGAAAAATAATCAAACTCAGATCAGCCGTAGCTCATTAAAGCCTCTGTAGTCATTACGGCCCGGCAATTAACATGGAAAAAATTATGCGCCATCACCCAGGGTGAGGCAGGGCTGGACCCCAGCCAGCCCCTCTTCTGCACCCTGACTCCCCTCCAGAAGCCCCTCGAGGTGGCTTTCCCTCCTCTCTCAGGCCCATGCCTGAGGCAGCAGCTGCCCGGGTCACAAATCCCTGGTTTCAGCCCAAACAGCTCCTGTGAGCTCTAGGTCTGGGTGAGGCTGGGCCTGCTCATTAGCACCAGGTGGCGATGGCTGCAAGGGCGGAGACCCAGCTCCTTTGGGCCCAGCCTGGGCTGCAGGCCCTTCCTCTGGCAGCCCACCCAGGAGGCTGTGCCAGTTTCTGTCCTTTGCCCACAGCAGACAGACAGGCCATCCCCAGAGCCGTCCTCTGTCCTTGGGATGGGACGATGCAGCCCAGCGGAAAGAGCCTGGGCTGGACTCCGCCTCTGGGTGTGACAACCTCTCTGAGCCAGGTTCCCGACTTAAAATTGGGACATTTTTCCACTTATATAAGGCCTTAGAGTAGTCAAAATCATGAAGATAGAAAGTGTAATGGTGGCTGCCAGGGCCTAGGGGAGGGAGAATGGGGAGTTATTATTTAATAGGCAGAGAGTTTCAGTTTTAAAAGATGGGAAGAGTAATGAGGATGCATGGTGGTGACGGTTGCACAACAACGTGAATGTACTTAACGCCACAGAACTGTACACTTAAAGATGATTATAATGGTAAATTTTGTTACGTGTATTTTATGACAATTTGAAAAAAAGAAAATAATTGAGTCACTAACACTGACCCCTGCTACAGGGCCACAGTGAGCATTTAATGGCACATGGGGAGGGGTGCCTCCATAAACCTGAGAATCCACTACCCCCCTCCCCCACTCCCCACGGAGATGCAGGGGACAGAGAGAGCGCATGATCTGGGGCCTGGAGAATTGCTCCTTTGTCATTCATTAGATATGTGGCTTGGGGTAATGGAGCCTCCTATCTCTGAGCCTCAGTCTGCCAATCGGGAAAATGGAAATAACTCCTGCCCAGTCTGACTCACAGGGATGGAGCGGAGAACTGACAGGAAATGCTTTGCAAACTGAACTGGTCATGATGACCAGCCGGGGTGGAAAGACCTCACCTCCCTGTCCCCTTCCCCTTTCTCTCTCCGCCTCTCCCTCTCCTCTATCCCAGCCACTTCTGTCAACAGAGCACCCCTAGTTTCAATTCTCAGACTGAGACAGAAAAGTGTCCTCACCCCTGCCTCCCCAACACACACACACACACAAAGGAGGGCTTCATTCCTGACACCCAAACCTGGGACCCAGTCACCTGCTCCACCTGTGTGGGCCCAGCCCCCGCCCTACAGCCACATTCTAAGAGCCTCGGGGCAGAGGGGAGGGTTTCAGCTGTGACAACAGAGGCTTTCATGAACTGGGACAAATATCCTGGGAAGTCCCAGCCTGGCAGTAAGGCCAGGCCTCTGGCCTCTGGCTCCAGGGCCTCCTGAGAAGTTAAGTAGGAGAGGGGGCTGTGGGGGCTGGAGGCTGGAGAAGAGCTGGGGACGTGGCAGAAGGGGCTCCTGGCCCAGGGCTGCAGCAGGGAGAGGGAAGAGCTGGACTCTGGGGTCACCCGTTGATTCGGAGCAAGCTAATAAACCTTTTCAAGGCCCAGGGGAAACGGCGGAAAGTGGACCTCATTCAGGATCGGCTTTGTGGGCCTCCTTAGCCAAGAGTCAATCTGTTCCCCTATAGCAGACCTTCTGGGGGAAGGAGCAGTGTCCCTTACAGGATTGGCCTGCTGTCACACAGATCTGCAGGGCCTGAACAGACTCCCTCAGCCTGAATCTCTCAGCCAGGGGGAAGTAGGACTTATTTACCCTTAATTGGCCTCAGTTCTCGGCAGCCAAGCTATAAACCACACGGGCAGGACCAGACCCACCTGAGGGCAGAGCAGTACCAGGAAGCTGGGACCGGCGTTTCTTTGCTGGCCCGGGACCAGCCCAAGGCAGGCCAGTTTGGGGGTCTGTGTGGGAGGTCTGGGTCTCATTCCAGGCTCTGGGCCCAGGCATGGCTGGTGGGCATAGGGGCTTATGCAGGGCTGCCCGGGACATGGATGAATGTGTTAGTGCACGCACACCGGCAGATGCACCCTCTCCAGCCTTACTCTGAGCGGACGCCTGCCCCTCATTACTCAGGCTCTGACCCCAAAGCCCCAGTTCCTCCTTCAGTTAGGTGGAGAACTGCCTCAGGGGATCCTGGTCCTAGGCCTTCACACGGAGCAAGACTGGAGTGTACTGAGGACTTGGCATAAGCAGGGTCGATCCTAGGACACAGGGGTGCAGGGGTGACACTGTGGTTAAGAATCAGGAACCCTGGGGCCAGCCCGGTGGCATAGCAGTTAAGTGCATGCGCTCCGCTTCAGCAGCCTGGGGTCTGGATCCCGAGCACGCACCGATGCACCGCTTGTCAAGTCATGCAGTGGCAGCATCCCATATAAAGCAGAGGAAGATGGGCACAGATGTTAGCCCAGGGCCAGTCTTCCTTAGCAAAAAGAGGAGGATTGGCAACAGATGTTAGCTCAGGGCTAATCTTCCTCATAAAAACAAAAAAAAGAGAAGCAGGAACCCTAGATTCTGGTCCCGGCTCTGCCACGTAGTCGCTGTGTGGCCTTGGACAAGTTACTTTACCCACTCTATAAGATGTAACTCATACTATCTACCTTTTTATGTTGATTAAATGGCACATAGTAGGTATACAGTAAACATTAATTTCAGACACACACACACACCCCAACCCTTGGGGGAACACAGTGTAAAGAAAACGAAATCTGGAAGCAAAACCAGTTTCAAATCCCACCTCTGCCATGTGTTAGAATAGTTATACATACAACAAATCACTTCACCTCTCTGAGCCTTAGTTTACCCCTCTGTAAAATGGAAGCAATGCCTATTTCACAAGGTTGTTTTAGGGAACAGGTGAGATAAATGAAGACTTCTGCAAACAGGAATTACAAAACAGAGTTTGTGAGCGCACTCCTGTCCCTTTCCTTGGACAGGGTAGACTCTGATCCAAATAAAACCTCAACAGTGCCAAGGCCTGGCCCATCTCCATGGGCTGAAATAACAAACCCAATGTCCTTCCTCCCTTGGGCCATAAAATTTTATTGGCAGATCAGAGGGAGAGCCGCAGTAAAGATCCCTCCCCTCCCATGCCCCTACTCAGGGGCATCCCTCCACAGGAGGCTGCCGGACTCAGTGGGCATTGGGGGGGGGTGGCTTGTCAAAGGGGCGGCCCGGGCCCACAAGCAGGGTGGGGGCGTCCTGGCCCTCCAGCAGGCTGCGGTAGGTGGCAATCTCCTGCTCCAGCCTCGTCTTGATATCCATGAGCTGCTGGTACTCCTGGTTCTGCCGCTCGGTGTCGGCACGCACGTCGCTCAGCTGGGCTTCAATACTACTGATCAGAGCCTGGATCTGTGCCAACTGTGCTCCGAAGCGAGCCTCCGTTTCTGCCAGCGTGCCTTCCAGGGCAGCTTTCTGAGGGCAGGGAGAGGGAAGGAGACTCAGCAGAGCATGGTTCCCAGAGGGGGAATGGGCACGCCACCACCCAGGCTACCCAAGCCTGCAAGGACATGAGGGCACATACCATGCTGAGCTGAGACTGCAGCTCGATCTCCAGGCCCTGGAGAGTGCGCCGCAGGTCAGTGACCTCCGTCTTGCTAATCTGCAGCTGCTCTGTGTGGCCAGCGACCTCCCGGTTCAGCTCCTCAGTCTGCAATAAGAGAGGAGGTGGAGGTAATAAGCCCTGAGCCAGAACTTTGCCTGGGAGCATCAAGCCCTCCCTCCTGATCACCTCCCCAAAGGGTACCTGCTTCCCTCTTCATACCTTGCTGATGAACCAGGTTTCAGCATCCTTCCGGTTCTTCTCAGCCATGACCTCATACTGGCTTCTCATGTCGCTCAGGATCTTGGCTAGGTCAACGCCTGGAGCAGAATCCACCTCCACACTGACCTGGCCACCCACCTGGCCCCTCAGGGCACTGATTTCCTGGAAAGATAGCAGAGTGGGCATGTCAGAGCCCAGAGCCTGCTGGGTCTGGGCCAGGTCACGCCCCCGGCCCCCACGCCTAAGGGGGCTGGTTTTCAGGTGCAGACCTAGGAGGCAGCATGGGGGGATAGACTGGATTGCCACCACTCCCTGCTGGAACCCTGGGAGCCACGCCCTGCACCCAGGGCCATGCTGAGGGTGCAGCAAGTATGGCAACAGTCAGAGGATACAGCATAAAAAAATATCCTCAGCCCTGGGAAGCTAGGGTGGAAAGGATGGAAGGCCCAGCTTGAAACACACCTCCTCATGGTTCTTCTTCAGGTAGGCCAGCTCTTCCTTCAGGCCTTCAATCTGCATCTCCAGGTCGGCTCTGGCCAGGGTCAGCTCGTCCAGCACCCTGCGCAGGCCGTTGATGTCGGCCTCCACGCTCAAACGCAGGGCCTGCTCCGTCTCAAACCTTTCAGAGGAAATAGCTGCAGTCAGGCCGGCATTTCCTCTGCACCTCTGAAGACTTTCCCACCTCCCCAGGGTTTAGGAGTCTATGGGGTGAGGGAGGAGTTGCTTCAGACCAGCTGGGGTGGGTGAGGGCAGGGCCCAGTCCCCCCACTGCACTGAGCCCCAAAAGGGCCTGGGATTGCCCCTCCTTCCCTGCCCTGGCTTCTGCAGCCCTCCAGGGCAGAGGCGCTCACTTGGTACGGAAGTCATCTGCAGCCAGACGGGCATTGTCGATCTGCAGGACAATTTTGGAGTTCTCAATGGTGGCCCCAAGAATCTGAAAGACAGGAGGCCGGAGGTTACTAGCATTGCCCACCCACTTTCTCCCCAGAAGAGAGAGAGGAGCAAATGAGCATGCCCTCGTTCCCTAGAGACCAAAGCCCCAGCCACCTCTCAGGCTGCCCATTAGCCTGCTCCCTAGGTCTTGGAATCAGTTCATGCTCAGGAGCTGGAGCAGGAGAAACCACTGCTGGGGAGGCTGAGCCGGGGTTAGGGAATGGGCAAGGGAGGGCAGGGAGGTAAATCGGGAGGAAAGTCTCTGAGACCCCGTACCCAGGGAAACTCTAAACGGTCTTAGAGAGGCAGCCTCTAAGTGATGTGCAAACCGGATGCAGGCATGTGTAGGGTTCACCCTTGTCTATAACCACCCCCCCCTCAAAGCACACTCTGCCTCAGGGAAAGGAATTCCATTTGTTGAGCATCTATTATGTGGGGGCACTCTGCATCTCAACTTTCACACCAGGTCAGTGGGTGCACCTGATTTACAGAGGTGGAAACTCAAGTTCAGGATTCCTGGTCCAAGTTCACCCCAACCAGAGGTCCCTCCCACCTAAGGGGCGTATTCACACCATTGATTAAGATCCTTGGGTTTAGCGTTTTTCAAAGAACAAGTTGTGACTCAGTCATTGTACTGGGTGGTGATTTGCAC